TCATGTCGTCAGCTCTGACCACGTTCCCAAGTGCTCGCAGAGCCTTGAGTCTTCTGCTCGTCGCCTCCCGACAGAGTCAGCGCCACAAGCAGCCGTAAACCTCCTTCGTTCACGATCGCAGCACGGTTCGCATCACTGTTGAGAGCGATGCAGCCCAGCGCATACGCTGCCCATTGTTTCTGGTCGCTGGTCCCAACTCGAAGAAGCTCGATCAAAGGTGCGATGGCTCCATCTCGCCCAATCTCGTGGCGGTTGTCGTCGCTACTCGCAGCTAAATTGCCCAGAGTGTAGGCGGCCTCTTGTTTCTGCGCGTCGGACCCGGTTCGAACGAGATCCGCGAGCGGCAGAATCGCGTCGTCCAGCTCGATCGCGTCAGCAATGGCTTCGTTATCACACGCCAAGTTTCCCAGAGCATACGAACTCCACTGCTTCTGAGCCTCCGTCCCAGTCTGCAACAGGTTGACAAGAGGTGGGATGGCTCCTTCCGGCGTGATCTTGACGCGGTTGTCGTCGTTGTACGCGAGGTTGCCCAGAGTGTAGGCGGACCACTGCTTCTGAGCACTCGAACCCGATTGAGTCAAGGAAACCAGTGGCGGAATGGCTCCTTCCTGGGCGATTGCAACGCGGTTGGCCTCGTTATTCAGCGACAGCGCTCCGAGAGCGTACACTGCCCATTGGTTCTGAGCGTCCGTCACCGCTTTCACGAAGCCAACGAGTGGGGGGATGGCTCCTTCTCGGGAGATCGTAGCTCGGTTCTCGTCGTTATCAGCTGCCAAGTTCCCGAGAGCGTACGCTGCCTCCTGTTTCTGCATGTCTGTTCCGGAACGCAGCAGCGTCACTAGAGGCGGGATGGCTCCTTCTTTAGCAATCGCCACGCAGTTGTCGTCGTTGTTGCTGGCCATCGTCCCCAACGTCTCCGCCGACCAAAGTTTCTGGTTGGCTGTTCCATGCAGCAGAAGAGCAACGAGAGGTGACAACACTCCAGCATCCCGCAGTCTTTCTCCTTCTCCACGAGTTGCTAAGCAAGAACAGAGGATCGATGCGTCTTCCTTCCCTTGCTCGTCGCCAAACTGGAGATCTCGTACCAGTGACTGGATCTCTGGCTGGGCAGCTTCTCGAATGCATCCGCGCGGTGCTTCGAACTCGGACTCGCTCATCTTGGAGTAAATGAACGTAAACCAACTCAAACAGTGCAATGCATACAGCTCTGTGTAGAAGCTGTTGCCTTCTCGAATCAAACGAGCAAATAGTCCGATCCCGTCCGATTGATACACTTGCGCTCGACTGTTACTGGTGACGCACTTGCGAATGAGAACTAACAGTGCTTGCTCCT